ACAGTACACCATCTCTGATTATCCCCACCGATCCCTATGTTGCTTGTAGTTGATTCTGAGAAAATGTATGCAGCTTGTCAAGGTCCCACTTCACATATTTAATATATACAGCGTACTGTATATTTAATAACTTCACATATCACTAATAAATGAGATGGAGCAACTCGTCTGCTGTCCTTTATAACCCTTCTTATGTGTTCTTATTGTGATGAAGGGCTGTGTCATGCCTTTGTTGAATGGATTCTTATGTGGTCTTTCATAATCATTCTTTGTTAACTCACCTGTTTGCTTCTGTTGATGCATGGGCTCACAATCATCTACTAGGACATTTTATTTGGTATATTTTCATTCTTCTCATTACAAATAATTAATGTTGTTACTTGAACTATTATGAATTGTAATAATATAATTACATTGTATAACACTGTATCCCATCTGCTCCACCATTTTGTGTTGGGTTACATATCCTGACTCACCAATGGTTTAAACTGAGTCTTACCTGTACATCAAGAATACAAGAATAAATGGGGGTGCGGCTTAAGATACTGTATGTAACCTGTTACCCATGATGTAGCCATTAATATTGTCTGATCGTTGTGTTTGTACACATCTAGTCAGTGTAACCTTGTCTATGTGTTGTACCACAACATAGTTTTTATTTCTGGTAATTTTTAACTTTTAGTGGTAAATTGCTTGTAAAGCTACAGTTTTGCTACTTCTTGTCTTCATTTTTTATTATTTTTCTTGCACGAGAGCGCTTAGTAAATGGACACTTGTTTTGCGCTTCATTTTTGTTTTATCACTTCTGTCACTACCCCTTGACTAACTTCATGATGGTTTAGTCGCTTATGTATGCATTTACAATTGAAAGTAGTGATACATCTAATCTACTTATCATTTTGATAATACTTAATATGAAGATACAGTTTTGCTGCATTTGATACCAAGACCTGCATTTCTTTGACATGGTTCTCAGTTTTAAGCTGCATGACTCATACAGTACAGTATATTCTCAAAACTCACAGAGGATCCAACACATAAAACACTTCCTTAATTGCGTGCAAATTGTTTCTGTAGGCAAGTATAACTATACTGGGATTATGTATCCAAAATCACTGCACAGATAGCCATCTTCAAACCCAAGAGATCCCTAAAGATCTTAACTATAACAGACATACAGTACATTTTTATTCATTTATGCATTAATAGATATGCATGTATTTAGGTTTTAGCATCATAGAAAGGTCAAATCAAAAGTAAATTTTGGTAATCATCAAACAGGGCATGAAGTTGGAATAGAATGTAGAATGGAGTAAACACTGTAGCTGTTGAGATACATTATGTAATTAACACATTTACAACTGAATAAAAGAAGAGTTCAATTATTATTTACAGAAGGAACAAACTTATATTTACTTATACTGTATTTATTGTTATATTTTCCAGACCACTTGACACAAGGTTTGCAATGTCTTGTATACTGTACATGCCCCTACGGTCTAACAGCTGTGTTAAGTGGTTTATTTCACATTATTTTTATGGTCCTATGTCTGAATAACATGTTTAATTGGTTTTATTTTTCTTAAAATGCTCAGGGAATGAATGGCTTCACCATATGCCCACTTTCCAATGGCCTGTGCATACTGATGTCTCGTTACTCTCAAGGAATTTGTATTCAGGCCCTGATTACTTTCCAGGATGCTCCAAGGAATTTAAATACAAACACATTCAATTTTAAACTGTGCCATATCTTGGAAATGTATTTTTACGCATAAATGAATTATGCACATTATTTCATATATTAAATTGGATAATGATAGAAATACAAAGCAATTACATTATTCCCAAATAAAAGTGCTATTTGTTTGCAACATCTGTCATTTTCCTTCATTTGTGTGATAAAACTACTGTAACAACATGTTACTTATTCATAGAAGTGACACAAAAGTCAATTCAGGAAGGTATCCACATAATAATATGAAAACTAGCACAACATTGCATAATTTATGAAAGGCCTTTGCACTCTCAGGTTTTCTCTGAAGAGACTGCACCTCAGCAGATGAAATGTTACCTTTGATACCACATCCTGTATTCGCCAGGGGACTCTACTGCCATTCCTGCCCCTCCAGCTGCTTCTTTGTGTAGGGGACATGTTTGTGCCAGCAGAGTGCATTTTCTAGAGCTCTATGCTAAAACATCAAAAGCCTGGCATTTCAAAGACAAACAGTACCAGTAATGTATGCATATGAAATACCCTTGTTCAGATTTATTAAAGTGAATTTGCCCAGATGTTTTGATATCCTCTTACCAAGGCTTAAAATACACAATTTACTCCTCTTTAAAGTTATGGTTATCCTAACAATGCACTACCACTCTTTGGTTCAGCTGTGATTATAAAAAAATGTAATGGACACTGATATGAAGTGTATCATTATACTACTTACAGTAGCATTATACTGTATGCTAGTGGGATCACAGATCATTGTGTTAAAGTGGACTGTTTAAAATTTGCAAAGACATCTCCTTCTGTAAGTGTTGTAGTACTATTTTATTCCAGCGTATATTTCCAGATTGTTTGTCTTTTACTGTATATTAAGCAATGATATAAAATGCATTGCAGATATGTAATTGTACTGGTGACATACTGTATATATACTGTATATATACAGTACACAACAAAAGAACAAAGCCCTTTAGCATGAGTCCAAGTTCACCAAAACAGGTTTTGTTAAATGCAATAATTTTATTGTAAAATTCAACAGTTGTGTGCAGTTCCCTTATGAAAAGGTTTTTTTAAGTACATACAATTACAATGAAGACCTGAACAATCATTTATCAGTGTCCTTTTATAGACTGTTCAAGAATTATACATTGATAGCAAACAGCTAACATATTCAGATTCAGAATTAGTCTTTTCTTTTTTTAACTAATTGCCCAACACTGTAATGACAGTGAGATATGTTCTATATATTTTTTTCTTCTGACAATAATATCTGTAACAGTAGAAATTATTTACATGTGCTCCACACTTAATGCTTTGAAAACTTCACAAGCCAATTTAATTTGCAAATGCAAAGGCTCAATTTTGTCCACTGAAAGTGTGCGATACTCCATCAGCAAACATCATCACAAATACATTAGATTTTGGCACTTTAGGATCTACCCTTTACGCGTAAAATCCCACTTTAGGATCTACCCTTTATGCTTATAATCCCCTATGTTCTGAAAAACATAAAGCAATAATGGCTGAAACAAGCTAGAATACACTTAACTATTTACAAACATCAGTACAGAAGACACTCTTTAGCTGAGATTCTGAAAAAAATATATTTTTTAAGACAGGACATTCCTGGGTTAAAGAGTGAACAATGGAATTGTAATATAAAGGACATTGATATACTATAAAGGGCCAACAGTGAAAGCCAGGGAGAATGTTTCCTGGTGAAGTTTCCTTCCTCATAATTACTTGGTTACTACAGAATTTGTGTAAGATTTAAGTTAGTTTTCTAAAGATGATCCGACACATTTTTAGGAATATATGGTGCAAAAAATGGCACTGTACATGAGGTACAGTTTAAGCAAGTCTTGAAATGTAGTCTCTTGGACTGGGTCTCATGCATAAGGTAGTGACATCATGCCAAGAATTCTTCAAAAGCCATCACACAGATGAAGTCATACAGTATACAGCCATGGACCTACACATTGCTAGAGATTTCATTAACAAAGACCTAAGTAAGGATGGACGTAACTTCCATATTAAACAGTTCTATACAGTACGAACACAAGAGTGTTTTGGTTAATTGTTTGCTGACAGAACACACTGCAAAACAAATGCTTTTTAAACAAAATGATGAAAAACTGGTCCATGTGCAAACAGTATTTCCCATGCAGACTACAACATTACAAAATACAAAATATAATAAGATTTCTTATCAAGCAACAAAAAATATATCTAGAGTTAAGTGATCCAGGACATTTTCTATTCCAATACCTCTGTGAATATTATAAAAGTAAAATCTATACATTGAGTATACACATCTATTTTCTGTGGAAATACAAAAACCTTCCATAAAAATCCTAATATGAGAAACCGGTTTCTTTGTAACCTACACATTGTTTCCTGTCATTTTTAGGGATATATTGTTTAAATTTGAATTTGCAGTCGAAAGGTGAAAACAGTTGCGGAAATGCACAACAAAGGCACTAATATTTATGCCTTTTTGATTTTAAGCGTTCTCTCACCCTGCAATAATCTTAGGAAATGTGACTGAAGGTATAATAAACTCCAAAATTGTCCAGGAAAATAATTACTTAAAAACTACATTTCTTTAGAAAAAAAATATATTTGCCCAACACTTGTGTTCCCTTATTTACAGTGATATACTATGTAGTTCTGTGATTGTTTTTCCATGGTATTTTCCTCAGGAAGATAAGGTAAATATATCCATCCTGTTTCCTGCAGATATTTTCATATACTGTACCAATAAAACCAACAAAATTGACTAGATTTCATATGGGGGAATGATGTATAAAAAAACAACAAAGCAGACAGAGACAGATATTACACGTGAACAGGTTGTGAATGTATGGAACAACCTACCCAGCCATGCTGTTTTCCTTCATACGGCTAGATGAGATCATTTGATTAATTAGATTAATTAGTTTCTAACTACCAGATGTGTTAGATGGACCCAATGGCTTCATCATGGTGTAACCCCTCTTAGGTTCTTATGTTCTAAAACTTAACTGTCCTTGCAATATGTAATTTCTGTTTCTGGGCAGGAGTAATATGACAGTTTATCTTTCTATTATTTTGTTGCTAAGGTACACAGGCCACCTATGGCCATTCACTCAATCCCTTAAAGTAGAGACATGCAACGTGTATGTGATGCATTGATATGCAACATGCCACAGTGAATGATCTTCAATTCTGCATGTTGAAAGATGAAGGCAAAAAAGAACATGCTTGTGGCAAGTTCATTTGAAGGACACAAACTGAATACAGGGAACTTTATCATTTATTTTTTGTTGTAAAAAAAACCCAACAACATTCTCTTTATCTCTATGCAGTAACAGACCAAAAATATGATTTGATGCACCAGGATAATATTCGGAATTTCCTTGAAATACTGGAAAGCAAACATAAAAACACAGACTACAAGAGAAGTACCCTCACTTCTATGTGATGCTGTCTACAAATTGTTTTGCTTTACCACTTTAAGCAGTCGAAATATGATCTCTCTCCATCTACAGCTGGCTTTAATCCCAGCGTAGATCTCATGCACATGGGATAGCTGAGCATTTTAAGTTTTTTTCCAATTAAATCTTCTCCTTTTCTTAAAAAAAAAGAAAAGAAAATTAAGTCCATCATTTACAGTGTTTTTTCATAGACAACAGAATAAGACCGTAATACATATTTTCATTTTTGGCCTCATGGATGCATGCAATAAATGTAATCCACTACAGTATATTCAAATATTTACATTTGTGTTTTTACAATTGATCTGAGACCATATGTTTTTCTAGCCTCTTCAATACATTTAACAGCAACACTGTTCCTATGATTCTGTGATTCAAATTCAAATTTTTTAAATACACTTGCTGTGTAAATGTGCATCACACTTTTAAAGTGCTCATTCACATTACTTAAGTGGTATACATATTATATCCATTTTCTCTTCCTCTTCAGTGATGTATGGTTATTCATTCATTATCGTGCAATACATTGTTTCAATCAGAAATACTATTTCAGAAGCCATAGTGTTCAGAAACACAGTGGGATCATAGATACGAATTGACACCCGGCTTCATTATACAAACAAATCAAGACAGTGAATGATTAAATGTTTTTGAAAACATCTTCTTACTGTTTTAGAGTTCTCTTTTCTGTTCTAGTGCAACCATTCTCTTAAGAAATGGTCACATTTTAAAAAATGCAGTAAACCCTACTGTATATGCAATAATCAGTCTGACAGCCAGAACTTGTCTGCTGACTTCTGAAACTGGTTTTATGAACATTGTTATGTGCATACCATGGCCACTGTCTGGACTAATTTGCTTCAGCACCTTTGAGAAGGGGTATCTGGGATAGGAAAAATCCCATTAAAGTATGCTTAAAACCCCAAAGAAAAATCTCTTGGCTATCATGTTAGAGCTGTATCATGATACAAAACAGTGCTGCCTCTGTTTTAGTTCTTGCAACCCTCAATTCAGGTTACAATACTCTAAACCCCAAGACATCAAGGTATTCATAGGACTGCACAACAGTCCAGCTGTGACTGTAAAATGTCCCAGAAACTCACTGTAGTCCTCTCTATTTTTTGGTTCATTTTAAGAACAAAAACCCATTCACTAACCTTTCTGTTGGAATATGCTACAACTTTTGCTTAATCAATCTGAACCGATGCTTCTTAAAAAAATGACACATAAAAAAAGAAAAACAAATACAGATGGCAAGCCTTTTTGTTGCGTTCATTTTCAGTAGGCCAAAAAAGATACGGTCTTGTAATTGTGCATTAAGGCCAGCTACATATTCAATCTAAAGATAGAGATATGAGACCCAGTATACTAGGTTAAACAAACCAAAAGCAGTAGGGAAGAAAATACGAGCATAGGAGTCTATTTTAGAGACGCGGATGTGCAATCGACCATGTCGCCAGGCTCCTGACCGACAATCTTCGAAACAGCAGAAGAAGCTGGTGCAGTCCTTGCCGTCTAGACACTCATAGCCATACTCCTCATCTCTCTCCTGGAGGTGCGTGGCATTGTTCATCTGAATGGCTGTCGCAGAGCGAGGACGAATATCCACAGTGGGCGTCTGTTTAATTTCGCAAAGAGAGAAAAGATTACTGTCAGTGTCTTCTTCAAAAGCGGGCGTTCTTTTCTCATCTATCTCCCCCCCCCTTCAAAATGCAATTTGCACCCTAACTTGTGAATGGTAAACATGAACCAGGTAAAAGAAAAAAGATGCTTATTTCAAGACGTTTACAACTTACATGGTGATTATTTTCCCTTTCACAGCAAGTGATGCAAATTACACCTTTGGGTGAAATTAATCTGTCTTTTGAGCTGAAAAGAAATATTTACTTTTCTTTTCTTTAGCAAGTGGATGTTTGCTCTAGTGCTGGGCAACCCTTCTACACATTTTTAAGTGCTAGATAACAAATCAGAAAAACTGACAATAGTATGCTTCACAACTGCACTAACTACAGTATAACACTTAGGCATGGTTTCCTCTGTGGTTTTAATTGTTAAGGCTGGTATACAGTAAAATGAAGAAACTGGCATCACACCATCTCATCAATCTGTACACCTTGGAGGTTAACGTTTCAAGAGAATTAACACTTGTAATCCGGACATCATGAATTGGCGTGAGTGAATTGTTCTTTCTGTATTTCCTAACATTTCAACTTTGCACATCCATTAATATTTTTAGCCTCTTTCAAATTAAACCCTCAAGATTAGTTGCTAAGCAACATTAGCAATTCTTAATGTTTCATGAATGCTTTACATTTCATTACATTTTTTCAAGATGAATGTTTTCCATCCACTCTTTTGTCTAATCACCTGATAAACCCCATTTTCTGTATTATGCATTTAACTGTATGCATTTGTTACAGGTGGAGAACTGAAATAGTCCTCCATAAATTAGTTTGATTGACACAACTGCTTAGTTACATTTTGAAGGCATTTATAAAGGATACTGATGTAGGGTAGGACATAGAGATTTAAATTTATAACTTGCCAAAGAAAGAATAAAAGACAACTGTCTGACTCAACTAGACAGCAGGACCAGGCACCAAAGGCGCCTATAAAACATATAGTAGGCCAGTGAAAATCAGTGGTCAGGTCAGAGATGTTGGAAGATTATCAGATATAGGTCTCATTCACTTAACTAAGAAATATGGCCTTTGCAGAGATTGTGGCCAACAAGTAATGTACTGTATATAAGCCATAGGAAAGTTGTACTCTGTAGCTATCATGCTGTGGTAGCTGCAACACGTTATAAAACTGTCAGTTTTTGGAAGCTTTGCCTCTACACAGCTGCAGAAATAAAACCAATTCTGTATATCACTGTCCTGAGAGTTATCCACTACAAGAAGATTTTAGTTTTACAAAGTAGACATCACTTCAATACAAAACAGATGCTGAACAAGTAATGCAGGCTACTATATACAGGTACTCAATTATCTTAAGAAAATGTAAATGTTTTCACAATTGTACTCACAAAACCTCACAAAGACACTCAAGACCATTGAAGGATTTAATGCACTAAAATTACCATCTCCATCTCAGGCAATGGTGCACCAAAACACAAATTCCACCAGCATCTTGTTCTATTACACATTCCTAATCTTGGCTGCTATGAGAACTGCGAGAAAGATGATGATCTGTTACTCAAAAAACCCAGTATTTCAGATTGAGAGTGTTTTACAGGCTGGATATTATCCTCACAAATAAACTGTTTCAAAGTGAATGCCATTTGGATCCCTTTTGCTTCATATAATGCATAATGAAAATAAATGTATATTGATTACTTTTAAAAATATTTGTCTTACATAGAATTGTGAATGTTTAATTTTCATGACAAATACAATAGGATTTCATTTAGTGAGCACCCAACAGTCAGAATTGATTCCTAACATTTACACAGGATAAAAATGTTTTATACTTCTCTTCATTATGCCCAGCACTAGCTCAAGGTGCACTTAAACTCCCTTTGAAAACTAAACATCACATCCCAGTTAAAATCTTCATGTGTTTATTTACTTAGGATTTCTTTAGCACTCTGATTTAAAACACATCCTGGGATTTCAAGTTGCTTCTGCACAACAGATATCACACAAATCAGTTCTCAAAGGGTTACACAGAAAGCGTGTGAAAAACCAAGCACATAGCACAAACAGACCAGCTGCATGTACTGTATTCACAAACAACACAGCATAATCTGCAGCTTTAACCGGATGAAAGTAGACAACCTTCAGAATGTAGCAGCAGTGAAGACAAGACACTCTACCTACTCATGTAACCTGATTCAAAGACTGCTGGAATGTTTTTGAAAAACACTACAAAGTGAATGCTGGAATTAGTTCCTTTCAGGTCATTCTGAATAAATGTCACATTTTCACTATGGGCAGTCTTTAAATACAATGTTCATTTAGCTGCATGGGAAAGGATTCATTAATTTGTAATTTCTGGATATTTAAAAATATGTAACAAATATACATTTTTTACTTCCCCAGATACTTTGATTGTGGACTCCGACTAAAGGTTGTACACTCGATTTTTGAAAGGTGACCTAAGCTAAACATGCAATCGAGAAAAGTTGGGATTCAGCACTTTGTATGGTTGTCTATTTCAATCTGTTAATGCTCTGCTGACTGTGCAGAAAGGATCAGTTTTAGAGCCTCCAAAAGACACAGACAGGTATGCTTTAAGATGAGCTATAGAGCAAGTGCTGTCACTGCTTGTGGCAAAATATGGAATAGTGGAGGATCCATGTAGTGATTAAATAAAATACTTTTACCTTTTACCAAAAGGATCCAATAAGTACTACAGTATGTTGACCAATTCTATGTTTAATTATAAATGATGCCATAATAAGATTAAGAACTGCTGAATTAACTCAAACTGGAAGCTTTTTCCACATTACCAATAGAGAAATCATGCTTTTATTGTCTTTAGATACTTTGTCGTTAGTCATTTTAAAGCTTCTAAAATACAGCTTATAAAAAGAAGTGGAGTGTGTGCTTGGCTAAAGCAGCTGAATGCAGCAGACACATGCAGTCAGTTTTTTTTTCCAGACACAAGCAATATACCTTTGAAGAAAACAGCCGAAGGAGCTTTTATCCAAACAGGAAACAAAGAAAATGTTACAAGAAAACAAAAAGAGAACAGATGTAAAACAAACAAAACTTAAAGACAACAGTTATTTCTGGATTAAGAAGTCAACAGAAGGTGAAAAGTAAGGATTGCACATGATCACGAGGTAAATGTAACAGGTACACTGGAATCTAATCAAAGTTTACTTTGAAGTCTTACTTCATAACTTAAACAGCTTTGCTATGACTCCTTCAGTCTTGTTTTGTGCACTGTAATTCTGTTAACTATATACAGGTGAAGTAAACCTGTTTTTCTTTTTGCCACAGAATCTTTGCTTGGTTTTGAGTGGAAAGAAATATAGTAAACCTAGTTCTGGTTATGGTTTAATCAACTTGGTATCGCTAACACAATATTTCTATGTTAAAGATATACTGTAGTTCAGACATTTTTGTAAACAAGAATGGTTGGAAATGCTTCACTCTTTATACTGTATGAGAAGAAAATGTTCTGACACATTCATACTGACAAAATAAAAAAGAGCAATATCATTTCTGTGTTAAAAAAATGGAAAATAATACGAACAACTTTATTTTTACTTCTGACCATGGTTTAAAAAAGAGTTTTTTGACAGGGGGTTCTTTAGAGATTCACAGAGCATCCCACGTCAGTCACATCATTTTTATGGCCTGGGAAATGAAAAATCAGCAGAGGCAGATACTGGCTCAAAAAAGAAGGTGCTCATGATGGGAAAACATAGATAGTACCAGACCTCCATCACTGTTCAGACCTTTAGACTTTGATTTGCAGTTAAGGGAAACAGATATTATATGATGAATTACAAAACACTACAAAAACATTGAATTAGACATGCTGGGCTTACATTGAATCTACAATAATTTTACTGTAACTGTATTAAAAGGAATTCTAATTGGACCAACTTTCTTGACACTCCCTAAATAATAAAACCTTATATTGAATACAGTTTATGTTTCTTGTCAAAAGCAGTATTTCACAAACATTATAAGCAACTTTGTTCAATTAATTTCTAAATATATTATCATTTTAATAGCTAAAAAGTAGAAAACCTGTCTTAATGAAAAAATCAAATTCAATAATATTAGAAAGCAGTAAATATGACAATTTCACATTTGTTCCATTTAAAGCAGTTTTTTTAAAGAAAAAAAGACATTGCTTTTAAAATACCAGGTTAAAATTGCACTGTCTCAAATGTCATTACATGATAATAATTTATATAGCATCATTGTGTTACTGTTAAGAGACTTACTCAATACTCTCAGTATGTAAAATACTGTATATAAAATGTATGACATTTGTATTTACAGTATGCCTCTAAATTGTTTATACAGTATAACACACAAATACATTATATTTATATATATACTTCAAATACTTTCTTATTCAACATTCTGTAATTTTTTTGTTTTCCATTTTAATTTCTTATATAGTTTTAGAAATATCAACATGTACAGTGTACACGTACTTAATATTACTACACTTGGGTACTCACGGGATTTTTTTTCTTCTTGTCTTTGTCTTTGCTTGGTTTTCTGTTGCTGACAAAGTAGTGCAGCGTTCCATATTCAATCAAGGCAGCAAATACGAAAATAAAGCAAACAGACACAAACAAATCCATCGCAGTCACATAGGAAACTTTGGGCAGGGACTTGCGAGCAATGGTACTCAGAGTGGTCATTGTCAGAACAGTCGTGATACCTGTGAATGGACAAACAGTTCCAGTTAAATTCCAATGAAGGTTATACATAAACAGGGCGAAATTTCAATTACACGTCCTTAGGGAGTCTGAAGAGAGCTTAGAAGATGGCATGAGTACAACTGATATTACTGTAGCTGCCTCAGAAAATAGCTTGTACTTTTTAAATAATGACATATAGATGGAAACTAAAGGATTGGTCATTTCTAATGTCTCCAATAACCTTATCAGACTTCATTAATCTTGGGACAACTCTTTTTAACCTGAAATCACTGAGCTGAGGGTGTCAAGAGTGGTGCAGTGGTTAGCATTGCTGCCTCACAGCGCTGGGATTCTGGGTTCAGTTCTGGACCTGGGGTGCTATTAGGGTGGAGTTTATATGTTCTCCCTGTGGTCACATAGGTCTCTTCCTGTTGTTCTGGTTTACTCCTACAGTTAAAAAACATACAGGTTAATTGGCTGTGAGTGTGTACTTGTATGTGTCACATTTAGTGTCTATCCTGCTTTGTGCCCATTGCTTGCTGGGATAGGCTCTGGCTCCCCCGTGGCCCTGTACTGGCAGAAGTGATTACAAAATGGACGGATGGATCACTGAGCTGCTTATGTACTGTATGAGATGCTTCTAAAACAATGTGATCAAGTGACATATTCAGTCAAAATTGCTATAGTGAAAAAGTTAGGAAGATTTAAAACACAAATTAACATTACACAATATATGCCTATCACTGCATACAACATTTGCATGCATTAGACAAACAGAATGAAAAGGATGGGGGATTTGTGTTTGAAAAAGGTTACAGCCTGGGATTTTCCCTAAGGGGTAAACTGACCAACTGCTGTGGTTGTCTTGATCCGTGTTTCAGTCACGTAAAGGTAAACCCAAGAGGAATTACTGGAGGCCATCTGGTGTTTACATGGTAATGTGTAAAAGAGAGTACATGGCCATATCAGTTTTTTTTTTTTTTTAAGAGAAAGTGATCTCCCCATTAGACAGCAAATGCAATTCAGTGAGGCAGTGGACAAACAGTTAGGACAAATTCCTTTTTTGGATAGCATTTGTTCAATTTGACACTTAGTTAAAAAGGATGATTTTTGTCATGGAACATCCAAGATCATTTCCTAAAACTTGATTTGTTTTTAATGGAGGAATTGTGAATGCAACACCAGCAACCAGAATTCATGCCGTAATATTCATGTCATTGTGTGATTTGAGTCTGCCTGATAGCACTAAGGATTAAAAATTATGTCACAGTCATTAATCCTCCATGATAACAGTCATTTACTCCCCTACAATCTTCAGAAGGAAATTACGCTATTTTTAATCAATGCTGATGTCTTCTGTCAGTTAATACCAAAATTATTAAGCAAAGACAAATTTAAAATGAAGATGAAACGGATAGAAAAACAACAACCAAACTCATAAGGTGACAGAAGAACTCAAAAACATTACAGAAACCATGACATAACAGTGCAGATATATTTTTCTAGCTTTCAGAAAACAATGACAATTTTTTTTCTTTTCAAAGGAAAACTATATTTTACTCGGCAAAATATGTTATTGAAAATGTCATGCGACTACCAATTTATGTTTGCCAGAGTAGAAGAAAAATGAAAAGCACATTAAAATTGGATACCAAACTGAAGGCTCTCATTGTTATTACCTGAGAAAAAATAATTAAGCTAATGGCTTGTATTTTTAAAGAATATTTGAAAACTTGAGACAGTTCTAGTAAAGGGTTAAGATCCTTTGGGCTACAGGGATGCTAAAGTTCTTTGAAGAAAGTTCCCTTTGGAAACCAATATGGGTTTCGGAATCTTGAAACCCCTTAAATTCCATTAAGCAGCTTTGCCTTCGGCTAAGGGTACACTAGCATTTAAATGCTGAACAAGCAACTCCTGCTGTGTTGCATATTAATGTCTAATTAAAATATGCATAAAACATATTTACCAGAGAGAGCTCAATCAAGGCTGACTTTATTATAAATCATCAAGGCTTTGTTCTGAAAGAGGGTCATCTCACACCAGTGGTATTCCAGCATCATTAAAAGAAAGATTAATTACCAGCAACTCAGTTCATAAATTCCACTGATGTCTATTGTAGGTTTGTTTGGATGTAGTTCATTGATTGTAAAAAATGAAGTATTTGGCAAAACATCAAAGAAAAACAGGCATAGCACAATGGTTTACCTAAGGATGTTCGGGCTGGTACTGCATCCTTATTAATCCAGAAGGATACCCAGGAAAGCACAACAATTAGAGTGCAGGGAATGTAGGTTTGAATGGTAAAGTAGCCCATCCTCCTGCTTAGCTCAAAGAAGACTGTCAACACAACATAATCTCCTGAAAGAAAGACAGAATGCAGTGGAAAGAAAATAAGAACAATCGGCTCTACAATAAATCACAATCAAACCAGCCGCTCAACCTCCTGTCATAATTAAAGCAGTGTACATGAGCGTTCTATTTGCTGTAAGTGTTGACCTTAACGCTCACACTTTTATTCCAGATGTCTGTTCTTACTCCAATGCGCACACTCGGGTCCTTTGTAAAGGGGAAGAACTAAAAGTTCTGCAAGAAAATAATTCTGCATCTAGGCAGCAAAGTTGTTCAAGTTGTTCAGTTGGTTAGGGGTATACCTCAGTTCACACATCTGACGACTTTGATCACATTGATGAGCAATGTGTGTTCTTTAATGATAATGGTGTGAGTGACATAAAATGACATTGGCTACAGCTGTGTTGCTACTGTCATGCAGCTGTAGAGTGAGCCTGGAAACATAATGAGATCCCAGTTTAAGAGAGAGAATGGTGTTAAATAAGACAAATGTAAGTAATGAAAAAGGGATTAAATTAAATACCTTTTTTAAAACCTAAAAGGAGAATTTAAAACATTTGGATGCCAGCACAAGTGCACGGCGTGTAGGTTGCTTCTCTGGATTTCCTTAAAAGCCCAAACAATTTTAATATGACTTTCAGAATTCAATACTAAATAAATAAAAACTACATTTCATATCCTCTTCCTTGCTATATTGATGCCAGAGAAACTAGTGTAATTTTCATGCAGAGCTATAACAAAACATCTGTTTTCATCAACACTAAATTACTGGAGCCTGTATAAATGCACAAAGAGCCCTTGCCAACTGAAATGGCAGGTTAATGCACTTATTCAGCCTCGTCAGCAAGACTGCAGACATGCTGTATTGTTCGTTGCAATTAATAATATTGAGTATTTCCTACAGGGCCTATTGCCGTGCTGTAGACATCTCTCCTATAGCACTCCAGCAGTTTGCCAGAAGCCAGTGGATGTACTGTATCTAAAAAGAGTAATAGCTCCCACTCCACATAATGACTTAAGCTTTTATCCAGTAGGGGACATAAATTGTGGAGGCAAACATGTATTTGTGCGTGTATGTCTCTATATATCTATATATAAATGGCCAAACACAGGTGATAAATGAACATGACATCTCTTCCTGATATAGCAATGGATGAAATAGCATTTGAGAGAGAAACAAGTCTGTGAGGGCAGATGCTTATTAATAAAAAGGGAATTTTTTTTCTAAGAACCGTCACATGCTTTTTACTGTAACACAATTATTTTTTTGGCAAGACGGGACTATGAAAAGGTTGGCAGGGAAAAACATTTGTAAGTACTTCTTTTGTTATAAGGTAGTAAAATACTCTATCATGAAGTTCTCAAAATGTTTTTTTCTTACTAAGTGTGACTTTAAATCTGCGCCCATTCTTAGTCATTTATATCTTTTGGCAATGCAAAGCCTAATACAGGACGTTTATGTTCAAATAATAATAACACTAAACTGAAGTAAGATTATTTATTTACATACTCATTATGAATCAAAAGAAAAAAGCAGTACAACTTACAACTCATTTACTTTTCAGCAGATACAGTATATGCCCATACATATACTCCAGCAGTCATATCACCCTGCAACTCACAACTGGCAACCCACTGAAGCTAAGCAGGTGTGAGCCTTGTCAGTACCTGGATCAAAAAGACTTCCTGGGAAAAACTAAGGTTGCTGTTGGAAGAGGTGTTAGTGGGGCCAGCAGGGGTCCTAATGCCCCAGTATAGTGGTGGGGATACTATACTGCGCCATCATTCATGTGAGACATACAGTAAAACCGAGGTCCCGACTCTCTGCGGTCATAAAAAATCCCACGGCGTTTCTCGTAAAGAGTAGGGGTGTAACCCTGGTATCCTGGCCAAATTTCTCTTTGGCCCTAACCAAACATGGCATTACATGGCAAACATGGCAGTCTTAGATAAAACTTTATTGATCCCGAAGGGAAATTATTTTTATTCTTAAATTTCATGTTCAGTAACATTATTTACTCTAAAAAGTAGCCTTTGTGATTGTAGTAGAACACTGTTTCAAAGTGGATGACATTTAATCCTTTTCACAAAAATGCATTACGGGAAAGACATTTTACTTTTACTACAGTCAATAATGATAACCTCTGTATGAGAACCATAACTATATCATAGTAGAACGACACCAACAAGAAAAAAAACAGACACATTAATCACTCAAGTTTTATTAGCAGTATTTATAGATCACTGCTGGAAATAAATGCAGTTTCAAGCAGCTGTCAGAGACTCTTGCTCACTTTCTTTGAGTAAGTATTCCCAAGACTGCTTCCCACATTTCACTTTATCTGTGGTTAAACAGATTATCAGTATGTGTCAGTTTTTAAGACGAGAGAGAAGTGTGAGTGGACAAGCCTAATTATCCAGTTCCTTGTCTGGTCTTGAAAGTGGAATGTATAGCTCTGTCTCTCATTAAAGCTCAGTGACTGCATCATTTGGAAGATCTCTTCTGTCGGTAGCTAAAATACAAGCAATATGTTTCTATGAAAAAATGGCGTAGGTGTAAAATAGGTGCTTCAAAACAAGTATTTTTTCTTCCTTCAAAAAATGTAAAGGGAAGATTTTTTATAAATAAAGAACCTAATATTTTATGCTGAATAAATCAAATTTTTCTCTAAACAATCACTAAAAACTACAAGACCCAAACCTTATTTAGAGTATTGTCAAAAGATTATTAACGAAGACAAATATGTTTTTTCATCTTGGACCATTTAGTTTTTTCTAGTTATTATATTTTAGATCAGGACTCCATCATGCGTGAACAAGCTATAGTCCATAAATGAGTGCACATGTTTTCTTTCAGAAATATATGGAATACAATAAACAAGTTTTTATATACCGTAATTGTACCTGTGACAGACTTGGAATGGATAGTTTATATCTCAATAGTTCCATTACTGTGAATTTAATCTTCATCACAAGCTGTATCTCTCCCAGAAGACTGTAATCCAGAATGAGGAATTTGATATTAAAAATGGAGTTTAGAATATTAATTTACAAGCAAGTTTAATAGTAACACCACCTTCATAGATCTTGAAGAAACATGCTTTTTCATAGCATCAGAAACCTAGCAAAGCTACCCATAGTGATAAGTGTCCACTGGTGTACCACAACAGTCCATAAAATGTATGAGGTCTTAAGAAAGATCTCATTAAACATCTTTTGCCTGGTTGTTTGTTTCAGATCTTCTTTCAAATATGGGGCATCTGTGGTACGAAAGAATCAAAGTTTGGACTTGTCACCAAAGTTGCCTTTGTCCCAGTAAAGTAATAAAGTAACAAGCATGGCTATTTCACAAGCCTTGGAGCTTTCACTTCAAAGCCTAAAAAGCAATAATAATAATATAATACTGTAAATACAGTAAACCAACATAATATTCATTGCTACTTTTTAGCTCTAGCCCGAAACTGATACTCGACAGTGGGATAATGCCAATGAAATGTACAGTATAAATACTTATGCCTTACGTGTATACTGTATGTGTTTAATAGTGGCAGTCTAAATGCTGTACGATACAAAAAAGACTTTCTTTTGTTCACTTTTGGATTGAATACAGTGGTAGTTGACAGGATGCATTTCATAAAATAATACCATCACTGAGATAGTCATGTTAAATGCTTTCTTAAAGAAAAATACATTTATGTTATATGGTAAATTAGGCTGGAAGGTCTCTATATTTGAGACCTTTCTATTTCTTTATATTTGAGATATATATATTCTTAAAATATATTCTTAAAATGAGTAGAATCATCCATTTCTCATTTACAGTTAAAATATTACTGTACATGGCTGTGACAGATCCAAACCTACATAAGGCTGCTACACCAGCTACGCCTGTGAAGCTCTTTATACGCTCTTTATATTTATTATTTAAGGCAGAAAAATACCTTAAAATACAGAAGAAAATAATGTGTTATTTTTAGAATAAAAGGTAATTAAAGAGATTCTGTACTAGGCAGTAATTAAGGAATGTGAAGGAGGGAAAAGGGGAAAAAAAGAAGTAGAAAGAATATAAAAGGAAGAAGGAATAGTACAGATATACGCAGTCACATTGATCACAGTGAATGGGCAATCTGAAGGCTTGGTCATTCAGACAATAAATAAGGCCATCTGAGGTACATTCTGAACAAACTGACCATTATAGTTGAGGAAAGGTTCACAAGTAAAACAGAATTTACCCATTGGTCCACAAATGTAACTATAAAGTATGTGACAAAATGTGACTGCAGTATATATATATATTTTCCAATTTGAGAAACTGCAAGACAGTTTTAACTGGTTTATGAGAAGCTTATCTTCTGGGAATAATCTGAATGCCGATGAATGCTTCTTAATCCCGGATGTATCGAGAAAATAAGATAATCTGCATTTCAAAAGACAATCTCTGATTACAGAAGACATTTGAAAGGCAGAGAGAGCTCAGTAATCATACACTAACTAACCAAAAAAACCTCTTCATTTTTCATGACTGTTTTTAGGGACTTCCCAATTCTTAGTTATGAAAAGAGTATCCTACTCTTTTTTTCTAAAACAAATGCTTTTCTGACGGCTATTTTATTTAGGGCTATATTTCTGCATTACCCCCAATGTCTCTATAAATAAAGTTGAGAAACATTTTCCAGTTCCCATGGAGTATAACTAACATTTATTGTCAATCTGTTAAGTGAGATGGCAGACCAATTAACATCATCACTGGTAATTTAGGATGGCAAATGCATTAAACATAGAGTACAGTATAAAGAATATACTGTGTGTGTACTCTTCTGGCTTTCAGCCCAAGTAATGATGGGTATCAAAGCAATTTCATTCTGAGAAAAGTTCACTGAAGTAATATGAATGAGGTAGGTACTTTAAAAAACAGTAACAAGTAGAAAAGAAATCTAAAATTCCTGATTCAAAAAGACCATGTCCATCTTTTATTACTTTCCTCATAGTTCTTCCAATGCTACTGGAAT